TATTTGCTGTCCATCCTCAATCACTCAAGTGTAAATGTGTAATTATTAGGTCTAAAGACAAACTGTATGTCATTCCACTTCCAAACAATATTGAAAGAGACTAAAAACTGATTCCTGGGGAACTACTTCTGCAGCTTTATACAGATATCAATGCCAATTGTTGTTTTTCAGCTTTATTTCTCCATACAATTTATAATGATATGTTATAATAATGCAATGATATAATATTAATGCAGAGTGAGTGAACTTCAGTTTTTGGCCATGTAATATAGACAGTGTTTACTTGACTGTACACTTTATAATGCATTCGTTTATTTATTTGTGTTATTACTTTCTGAAAACAATGTATGTCCAAGTAATGAAGTGAATTCCAAGCACGAAGAAGTAAACTTAAAATGTACTCAAAAATGTGACTTAAAATATACTACAACTTCAGGTTATTTAATAATGTACTTTGAAAGTATGCTTTCAATGCATTGTTACAATGATCATTTTCAGCACACAGTTAAAAAATATTCATAAAATATATTTAAGTAAAGTGCAAATAAATATACTTATAAAAAATAAACAGAACTTTCAATTCAAGTATATTCTTGTCAAATAAATTTTTTGAAAATATACTAAATTACAGTTGTTTTAAAAGTTGTATTGTGAAAATAGACAAAAGCATGCTGCTAATATACTTTTTATATATTTAAAGATAGTAAATTTTTTGTTAGTATATTTGCAACGTAATATTAAAACAGGTAATATATTACAAATGCAATAAAGTATACTTTTTTCACTAGGGTAATGTTTTTTGTACTAGTTAAAACCCAGAATAGCCCTGAATGAAGGGGTAGATTCAGTTTTTTTTTCTGGACTCCTTTTTAATGGTTAAATAACATTTTATTAATCAAAAAGCATGTCTAATTAATTAAAATCATGAAACTTAAACAATTTAACATCAATTTATTAAAAGTTATATTGAACAAATATGATGTTTAGGGCCCTATGAAATGTTTTATTTGTCCAACCTTATGTTTTATTGTAACGAAATTCTGTTTTAGCATGTCTAATTTGAAAGCATAAAACAAGTTTCATTTATTCTTACAATAGCCTTATGATTTTTTTGCTCAGAAATTCTGTGTTGTGTATTTACATTTTGTTTTAAGGCATAAAACATTCATTTAATCTATCTTTGTAAATAAGATAAATAACATAAGGCTATTTAGTTTGCTTAATGAAAGAACAAGGTATAGACATGTTCTATAAGAAAGGTAACTTTAAATTACTTCTGTTGTGATCTGGCGCTATAGAGAAAATATAATTATATAAAATTAACTTGACCTTCAAGGGGGGCGGGGGGTGCCGTTGGCAGGGGAAACACTGCACTCTCTCTCTCCCCCGACTTTTTCAGAATTTGTTTTTTGCATTGTAGAGCAAAATGTCAAGCATTGTCAAGTTGTTTACATTATTTTACTCATTAATTGAATAAAATATAGGAAAATCTTGAGGGAAGCGGTGGAGAAACACGTCATTTTTTTTGTCATGTCATTAGTTGTGTCTTACTTTGTTTAATAATTATTACACAAATACTATTATAAAACTACATATCATGATTATTTATTTTACTTTATAATTTACTATTAATTTATTCTTCATTATTGTCTATTCTGTATTATTCCACCCTTGATATTACATATTCTACTTGCTATTATTCATCTATTGTTATTTATTTATTATGATATTATACATACAATTTGTGCTATTATAAATCTATTATATACTGTTGTACTCGCTTTTTATATTATTCACTTTACTACAACCTGTACTACATATACTTTTTAATATTACATTTCACTTTTACTATATTTTTACTGTGCACTGTATCAGTGCATAATATTTTACCACTGTAACTGTAAGTTTTACTGGATCCATAAAGGATTATCAGTTGCATTTGTTATTATTTGTTGTGGAGTTTATCTGTATAGAGTGCAATCAAAATAAAAAGCAGACTACCAAAGTGTCACTTTTTGATTTGTATTCGCTGGTTTTATTCAATTTTCTCAATGATGGTAAATTATTAGTGCTTAAAGATGTTTTAATTCGATTTTCTTCCACTATTTCAAAGGGAATGAGCTGTGTTCTGACCTGCAGCACAAGAAAAGCTAAAATGTTGGGGTTGAAGACAGAGAAAGCAATGAAAGTACTTAATTTCATTTAATGTACATTCAAATTACATTACATGTATATGTCACAGTTATACTACATTAACATTAGAATGGTAAACCGAAAAAATCTACCAAATCAACAAGTGTATAGTTGTATTTTGTATTTAATCTGTATTTATGTTATCTGTATGCACCCAAGGATCTGAGAGTAACGCAATTTCAATTCTCTGTGTGTATGTGCTGTACATGTGGAAGAATTGACAATAAAGCAGACTTGACTTGACTTCACTTGACTTGACTTGAAGTGAGACAAGTGTGAGCTTTCACAATTTCTTACGAAAATTAATAATTTTCCAAACCTAACTAAATAACTGGAGGCAGAACTCCATGTAGATCACAAACCTCTGAAATCGGTTGCTGAATGTAAACGTTATCGTGTTTTTATCCAGAAAAAAACACAGCTCCCCCGTTTACCTCCATTTATTTTTAAGGCAGTCTTGCCCTCACAAACATGGCGGACGCGTTGACGTATCGCAGCAACGGCTCAAAGCGGCCAATGAGGCGTCTAGGTATTTATTATGTCTATGATGGCTTTCCGGCGGAAACTTTCACCAGAAACATCCGTTTCCGTGTTGCCGTTGGAAAACGTTCAGCCAGCGGACACCGTGGGAGCAGAGAAGACTAGAAACATTTCAGAATATTTTGTCGCCTTAAACAGTCAGCGGTTTATTTTTTATCAATGTCGTTTGGTGTTGCGGACGAAAACAACGACAATTAAGTAATAACGAAGAAACGCTTTGGGCCGCTATATAACAGCTGAATAAAGTGAAAGGTAAGTGTTTATGTTGAGGTTCGATTCGTTTGCTACCGAAATCCTTTAAAACATCATCAACATTTGCCAAAATCTTATAGTTGCTACAGTTATAGTTATAGTTACTGTAATAAAATGGAAATTTGGTATTAACCACGACCGTTATAATCAAAGAACTACGCAAAATTTATTTTCAGTCCTAACAATAACTTAGAAACTATGGTATTTTTGAGCGTTAGCTACTTTAAGTATATACTTTAAGTGTATGTTTAAAGGTTTAAAGCCGCCTGTGTTAACTTTTAAGGCCAATTGCACCACTGAGCTGAACCATGTATTAAAAATTACCGGTGTCAGTCAGCGTTCGTGGTAACTTAGTAGTAGCCTAAGTAATTATGTTTGATTCTATATGTTTTAATTCTGTTTATAGCAATTAGAAATACTTTTTTTGTGTGATTTTGAGACTGTCATCTTTGTCAATTCAAGGTGTAAATTGGAGCTGTCAGAAAGTGGATTGTGGAGAGTGTATACTTATACATTGTTCAGTTGTAATCGCATATTTATAAATTATTCAAAACATTTTCATACTGCTAGGCATAATTTGTTTTGCCGTTTAAGTCATTGATTGAAGATGTGTGAACTGGAAACATTCAAAGAAGGAGTGCAATGTTAATAAATCAGCAAATAATTTGAGACATTGAGAACAATTACAAGCAGCTCTTTGTAAAGGAGTGCAACTAAACTGTAAGACTTATCCATTAATGTGAAACATGACAAAAATCTTAAACTAAAGCTAGTTTTTGACATTAGTATTGCATTTTGTTGTTTACATTTTGTTGTTTGTTAGATTTCCCCCCCCCCCGGCATGTCTCTGCCCAAGCGTGAGGTTGATGAGCTGAGGCCATGGGTGGAACGCACAGTAAAGAAGGTCCTTGGTTTTTCTGAACCCACTGTGGTCACAGCAGCATTGCACTGTGTAGGAAAAGGCCTGGACAAAAGAAAAACCACAGGTAAGAAGTTTTCCTTGTAGTTGTCCAGTACAGAAATAGTGATGATATGGTTGTTCTACTTCATGGGTGAATACCTGGATAGATGGAATTATTGCACCAGCATATTACACACAAAACAGGCTGGAAAGAAAATATCATAAACTGTCTACTAGCAATTCAAAAAGTTAGTTTATATATTCATGATGACTGATGTTGTTGTCACATGGATAAGCATGACAGAAATTAAATGACAGCTCCACTTTTTGTTTGTTAATATTTGTAGTTTTATATATGTAAATATATACAAACACGTACATACTAATGCCTATATTCTATACATACATACATACATACATACATGCACTGTGTGTGTGTGTATATGTATGTATGTATGTATGTGTGTATATACATATATATATATATATACATATATACAAACACGTACATAATACTGTGCAAAAGTCTTAGGCCATTAGTATTGTCACAAAAAAAAGGTTTTAAGTCAGTAATTTCTATCTTTTGCTGTGTAGTGTGTCTCTTATCATTTTACATTTCCAAACATTTATTTTGCCATTAATTGTAGTAATCCAGTGAGTTTTATGTCTGCACAAGGAGTCTGACAGCAGCCAGTGCTCCACACACACTGTGTAGGTTTGCTGTTGAAGTGTAATATCACCCTAAAGATCTTAGCAACACTTGCTGATAATATTATTCTCTATCTGATGTATTTGTTCTAATGGGTTGTTAAAAACAGTAGTCATTCTTCTAGAAGAGTTCGGAAAATTGTGGGGTGATAAACATTTAAAGGATTATCTTAAAGGATTAATAAATCAAAATTATACAAGTATCATGTAATGGAATCAACTTCTTTCAACATTATGGGGAAGGATAAATCATACATGTGAAAATGGTATTACACAAGGTAAACTATATTCTCACAATGTTACCTGTTAATATATAAGAGGCTTCCCATTTATTTGCAATGGGAAGAAAAGTAGTAGAAAATTACTTGCTTACCTTAGATTTACGCACTGACTAATTAAAGAGTTCCTTAATTTGACATATTTTAAGTTTTTACTTTGCTTTTGGATTTATACAGATTTGAGAAGGATTGTAGGCCTGGGAATGAAAATGGTTGGTAAATATTGAGCAAGACATAAATAACTTGCCCAAAATCAATATTGGAATCAGCAGTTGAAACCTCATAACCTATATTGAACCTCTGTTAAATATTAATCAACAGTAGGGGGGGAAATCTGACATGTTCTGTTAAATCTAAAACATTAACTTGGGGTATGTGGAAACAAGCCAGTATTAAAGGGGTCATCGGATGCAAAATTCACTTTTCAAGTTGTTTGAACATAAATGTTTGTTGGAAGTGTGTGTGTATACATCCATCCTATAATTATAAAAATCCATCCAGTGTTTTTTAAAAAAAATCCCTATTTTAAAATCCCCTTTCTCAAACCAGGCTGTTCTGAGATTCCTGTCAGAATGACGTAGTTCTGTACAGGTTCCTCCCACGATAGTTGATTGACAGTAGTGTTTCAGCACAGACTGGACTGGTGTCTTACCTTAGACCCACCCTGAGTGAGCTGTCATCAGTCCGCCATTGTGTTGACTCTGGTGCAGGGGAAGACAAGATGTCTCAGATTAAGCGATTGAGGTGCGTTATTGTTGGATGTAATAATGAATATAGCAATCGTCATTTACTCCCGACATCTGAGGTGCTGAAGACGCAGAGGATTAACGTTACTTTTGCTTTGAAGTGTTTGCTCCACTCCCGATCAGCCTAAATGCATCTATGTTCGCTCGAATCATTCGTGATCCAGCCTCATCTACAGAAGAAGTGAGTGTAAGGGTTTTTTATGAATCTTTGCAAATCACCTTTCCTAATAATGCGCTAATTAGCTAGTTTTACGATGAATTACTAAAGTAAACCATCTCTCTGAGAGCAGCTCAGAAGAGAGGGGCAGGGCCAGCAGAGCTCATTAACATTTAAAGCAACATAGACTATAATGGCTTGATAAAAACAGAGCTGATTTTGACAGGTTTAAAAAGGTGTTTTTTACACTATCATTGAGAAATTTTAACCAAAGTATGCTATAGACTTTTAATTAAGACCCTAAAGAATCATATCAACTTGTGCAAAATGAGCATCCGATGACCCCTTTAAAGATTTTAAATTAAAGATGTGATTAGAGACAAAAAAATACCCTATTACAAAAATTTATAAAGGTAACCTGATTGCCAGAAAGGACATTTTTTTAATTATCCAAAGTCTCATAGCATAATATTAAAATCAATTTAACTGAATGGCTTTTAAGATTAAGAATTTATTAATTGTAATGAATTAACAATGACACTGAAAACTACATTTTACTTTTACATTTACATTTAGACATTTAGCAGACACTTTTATCCAAAGCGACTTACAAATGAGGACAATGGAAGCAATCAAAATCAACTGAAGAGCAATGATATACAAGTGCTATAACAAGTCTGTTAGCTTAATGCTGTACAAGTAGCAAGTTTTTAAAAAAAAATCATATAATAAATAAAACAGCTAGAATAGAGCAAGCTAGTGTTAGAGGCCTTTTTTTGCTTTTGTTAATTGTATAAATAAAAAGAAAACAAATAGATAGAATACAAAAAGATTAGAGAAGCACGTGTTATTTTTTTTATTTTATTTTTTTAAGAAAACAAGCAGTTTCAAGTCTAACAAGTCTAAAAGGGGCAAGTTTTTAAATTTTTTTTTAATAAAGAATAGAATTATAATAGAGAGTGCTAGAGTTAGAGGGTCAAATAAAGATGGAAGAGAAGTGTTTTTAGCAGATTCTTGAAGATGGCTAAGGACTCGATTCGATTAGTTTGCTACCGAAAACCTTTAAAACATCATCAACATTTGCCAAAATCTTATAGTTGCTACAGTTATAGTTATAGTTACTGTAATAAAATGGAAATTTGGTATTAACCACGACCGTTATAATCAAAGAACTACGCAAAATTTATTTTCAGTCCTAACAATAACTTAGAAACTATGATATTTTTGAGCGTTAGCTACTTTAAGTATATAGTATGTTTAAAGGTTTAAAGCCGCCTGTGTTAACTTTTAAGGCCAATTGCACCACTGAGCTGAACCATGTATTAAAAATTACCGGTGTCAGTCAGCGTTTGTGGTAACTTAGTAGTAGCCTAAGTAATTATGTTTGATTCTATATGTTTTAATTCTGTTTATATCAATTAGAAATACTTTTTTTGTGTGATTTTGAGACTGTCATCTTTGTCAATTCAAGGTGTAAATTGGAGCTGTCAGAAAGTGGATTGTGGAGAGTGTATACATATACATTGTTCAGTTGTAATTGCATATTTATAAATGATTGAAAACATTTTCATACTGTTAGGCATAATTTGTTTTGCCATTTAAGTCATTGATTGAAGATGTGTGAATTATTACACGTGTTATTTTTTTTATTTTATTTTTTTAAGAAAACAAGCAGTTTCAAGTCTAACAAGTCTAAAAGGGGCAAGTTTTTAAATTTTTTTTTAATAAAGAATAGAATTATAATAGAGAGTGCTAGAGTTAGAGGGTCAAATAAAGATGGAAGAGAAGTGTTTTTAGCCGATTCTTGAAGATGGCTAAGGACTCGATTCGATTAGTTTGCTACCGAAACCCTTTAAAACATCATCAACATTTGCCAAAATCTTATAGTTGTTATAGTTATAGTTACTGTAATAAAATGGAAATTTGGTATTAACCGCGACCGTTATAATCAACTACGCAACTACGCAAAATTTATTTTCAGTCCTAACAATAACTTAGAAACTATGATATTTTTGAGCGTTAGCTACTTTAAGTATATAGTATGTTTAAAGGTTTAAAGCCGCCTGTGTTAACTTTTAAGGCCAATTGCACCACTGAGCTGAACCATGTATTAAAAATTACCGGTGTCAGTCAGCGTTTGTGGTAACTTAGTAGTAGCCTAAGTAATTATGTTTGATTCTATATGTTTTAATTCTGTTTATATCAATTAGAAATACTTTTTTTGTGTGATTTTGAGACTGTCATCTTTGTCAATTCAAGGTGTAAATTGGAGCTGTCAGAAAGTGGATTGTGGAGAGTGTATACATATACATTGTTCAGTTGTAATTGCATATTTATAAATGATTGAAAACATTTTCATACTGTTAGGCATAATTTGTTTTGCCATTTAAGTCATTGATTGAAGATGTGTGAATTATTACACGTGTTATTTTTTTTATTTTATTTTTTTAAGAAAACAAGCAGTTAGTAAATAAATAGTGCAAGTCTAAAAGGGGCAAGTTTTTAATTTTTTTTTTATAAAGAATAGAATTATAATAGAGAGTGCTAGAGTTAGAGGGTCAAATAAAGATGGAAGAGATGTGTTTTTAGCCGATTCTTGAAGATGGCTAAGGACTCAGCTGCTCAGATTGAGTTGGGCAGGTCATTCCACCAGGAGGGAACATTTAATTTAAAAGTCTGTGAAAGTGATTTTGTGACCCTTTGGGATGGCACAATAAAGCGACGTTCACTTGCAAAACGCAAGCTTCTAGAGGGCACATAAGTCTGAAGTAATGAATTTAGGTAAAAGGGTGCAGAGCCAGTGGTGGTTTTGTAGGCAAACATTAATGCCTTGAATTTTATGCGAGCAGCTATTGGTAGCCAGTGCAAATTGATAAACAGAGGTGTGACGTGCATTCTTTTCGGCTCGTTAAAAATGAATCTTGCTGCCGCATTCTGGATTAATTGTAGAGGTTTGATAGAACTGGCTGGAAGACCTTCCAAGAGAGCATTGCAATAGTGCAGCCTGGACAGAACAAGAGCTTAAACAAGGAGTTGTTTTATTTGTTTTTGAGTTTCATTTTATTATTTTATGAAACAGGAACATATTCTTTATTTGATAATTGCACTAAACAGTGGGCATCTGAGTTACAAATTTACATTAATCTTTGTTGTACACTAGGGCTGGGCGATATGACGATATTATCGTATATCGACGATGTCTCGTAAGTATCGCAATGTCGATGTCAACAGTCAGGTAACAGACGATTATCAACATGATCGGAAGAAAAATGACAAATGATAAACTTTTAAAAATATTTTTTTTATTTAAAAATAAAAATATTTTGCATAGCCCCATAGTCACCATACAGGTCTTTTTGCATGCAAGAATTAAATAATTTAGTAGGAGATTTTGGGAATCAAAAAGCTATTCCAATTTTGGAAATCAGATCAGATGTGTAAGGTCAGAAATCAAATTACTTGTGATAAAATTACATTTCGATTCTGCTTCTCAATTTCTGTATGCGCATTTATTGTGATTTCAAAAGATTCAACTGCAAGAAGACGAAATAGAACTCACTGCTGCGCACACACACACAAAGCACATGCACAAAAGCAGCCTCTTATATACGCGAACACTGAACTGAGCTCTCTTTCTCGCATTCTTACGCATTAGAATGGACAAATACACAGAATTATATCGAAATATCCCATAAATACAATCGGTTATGTCTTAAGTGAATGTAAAGAGCTGAGAAAGAAAACAAGGGTGTATTGCATCCCTGCATTGACAGTAGCCGCTGCTGCCAGTCATTAATGTTAATCAAAGAACAAAAGAAAGGAAAATTCCTCACTGATCTTGACTGAATCACTTTTGTAACCTCAGTTTATATTTTATTTGCCTGTTGTTCGGCGCTGACTACTGTAATGGCAACGTGCATCTGTGTATGCGATTATTTTGGAGATGTATTCCAAAACAATTTATCCTTATTTAGGGTATAGGCCTATTCTATTTTGATCTGCAGTTTAATAAAAGTTAAACAGAAAAAAGACAAAGTAGCACTGCATGTGTTTCTGAATATTTATTTAAACAGACTGTATAATGAGGAAAAACCACAAACATGACAGGTATAATTAAAATACACAAATTCCTTAAGCGCACATTTCAGTGCAAATTTTTTTTACAGATTTTTAAAACCGTGTATACAATATAATTGTTTAATTAAGCTGAGTTATAACATTCTTAATTAATTTGCAATAAAACTATAACGTTTTGTTGCAAATGGATGAAGACATTAGTAAGCTTCTCAGCACGCCCCTCAACATGCACACATTCGGAGTTTCGGCAGCCCAACACTGAATATTACGTTGTGGGCATTGTATTTTGATTAATAAAATAAAAATTATAAAAATTACAATACAGAAATGAAATTTAAATTACCCTGCTTCTAAATAAATAAAGCAGTAATTTTTATTTTGTTAAAAACGGGCCAAAAGAGACCTCCGAACTAGTAGGCTACCAGAAAGGGAGAAAAAAAACTTTAACGTTTTAGCTTGGCATTAGTTTTTAAATCCCTGCATAATTTTACTCATACATGATAAATATCAAATATGTTATAGCTTGACTACAAGTTTAAAAACAACGCTGCAATTATTAAAATTAAGGAAATTAAACTTGCCATCATGAAATGTCTACACAGGCGATAATGCCAAAAAGAAAGAGAAACATCGGAAAATAGGCATATTTTATTCAAGACATTATTATATGACATCAACATGCATTTATCATTCTCACAATCACTGCCAGAATGTCCAACTTCACCATGATGAACTTACGTTCTATTATTTTTCTTCAACAGTCCTCCTCACAAAACGAAATTCATTTCAAACACATTTGATAAAAACAGAGTGGAAATTATTAGCAACATGAAAATAACAGCAAAGCTAATGTTTTCTGTTAGTTTTAGCACAAGCTTAAAAAAGTAAAACCAAACTTTGTGGCAATAATTAAGACCAAACTGAACATGGTGTGTGTTTATGGTGCATGTCGGCAATGTTGTCTCTGCGGGGGCGGGGCATGGTGGAGATGGGGCTTAGGTAGACTATATTATCGGATATCGCGATATTTTTAAAGGTGATTATCGATAAGATATTTTTGACATGTCGCCCAGCCCTATTGTACACCTAAATCGCCAATGTATGTTTGTAAAGTAGTTCTAATTTATGTAGATTAGGATGATGTGTGGGGTGTTCACAAGTGGTGTTGGTGGCACTTGGAAAAAAATGGCAACAGGTTATGTGCAGAATTACTCATATTGTGTGTTTTTAAATGCAGCTGAGAATTCCGTGAGGCTCTTTTCATTAACAGTGATCAATATTTTTCTTCTTTTAGACCAGCTAAGGCCCTTTCTTGATGATTCAGCAAGCAGCTTTGTTGAGCGTCTGTTTGAAGCCCTTGAGGAAAGCAAAAACAGGCGTGGCAATAAAGGAGCTGGAGAGAAGAACCGCAAAAGAGAGCTTAAGGTATAGTTTTTTATGCTTCCTAAATTTACAGTTTCTGAAGGGCTTTTCACATTTGAACTAGTTATTGTGGGATCTTGTTTCTCATTTCACACTGCTTTACCTGGGGGTAACAGTTCATTCTGGGTATTCTTAAGCTGACGTTTCACAGTTAGGGGTGTACACAAGTAGTTGAATATTTGTTATGCAATTATTATAAAAAAAATAAAAATACTGTTAGAATTTTATTACGTTTTGCTTTGCTGGCCGTAAATGCAGGGATCCATGATAAATCCTCAGCACGCAAACTAAAAGTCAGTTATAACTAAATTCACTAGGTGGTGCTGTGGAGCGTGGTAACAAATTGATTGTATTTGATTGCAGAATGTCGTTGTCTGCCTTTCGAAGTTTGGAATTACTTTGATTATTATGATCTTACTAAATAATCGTACAAAATGGAATTACTTTTGATCAAATGATCAGTGAAACGGAGTTATCATAATATCACCACCACATTGAGAAATCGCATGAAATCCAAACAGCAGTCGACTGAGAAAAGACCATTTGTCCATCACTGCATTCACAACTGCAGGTAAGCGCAGCTGTACCCCGAGTGAGCCGAGAAGAGAGCTTATCTGATAGCAAAATGATCTTGGGACATATTTACGCTTCCTCATGGGACAGTGGTTTAAGAACAAAACACAAAGCAATGAAAGAAACTTTGCTTAGCACACTGTTATCTTTGTGTCTCTGGAACGTCTGTGTCGGCGCACGTCCTTATTGTTATCAGACAGAGAAGCCAACTTTTACCCAAGCATGTGGATATTATTGTTTTACTCAACCTTAACATGTGAAACAGGGCTTGAAATTAACTTTTTTACTTTGTAGCACTGGTGCTCCCAACTTCAAAAAGTTAGGAGCACTCACCAAAAATTAATGAGCACCACAACTACAAATTACAGGTGCATCTCAATAAATTAGAATGTCATGGAAAAGTTAATTTATTTCAAATTTTGGTGGGTTTTTGTTAAATGTGAGCCAAAATCATCACAATTAAAAGAACCAAAGACTTAAACTACTTCAGTCTGTGTGCATTGAATTTATTTAATACACGAGTTTCACAATTTGAGTTGAATTACTGAAATGAACTTTTCCACGACATTATAATTTATTGAGATGCACCTGTATTAACAGATTTTATCCTTAAATTCTTTACTTTAATGCAGATTTTAGATTGGTTTATATTAGCTGTCAATCACTCATTCACTGCTTTCCGCTTACTACGGTGAGAAAAAGAATGGGCTGAAGAAGAGAGAAAATGAAAAGAACACTGACTGATTTCTTTTGTAAATAAACTTAAGTTAATCCGAGTTTGGTTAAACACAGAGAGAGAGAGAGAGAGCTCTTCTTTGGCAAGGGTTAGAATGGTGTATGCGTTGTTAAACTATACATTCAGCTCTGCCAATTGCACAGAACAGGTTGGGGTGGCTAGGGGTGTGCGATATTGACAAAAAATTATATCTCTATATTTTCTGGGATTTTATCGATAACGATAATTTGACTGAGTGTTACTGGCTGAAGAAGAGAGAAAATGAAAAGAACACTGACTGATTTCTTTTGTAAATAAACTTAAGTTAATCCGAGTTTGGTTAAACACAGAGAGAGAGAGAGAGAGAGCTCTTCTTTGGCAAGGGTTAGAATGGTGTATGCGTTGTTAAACTATACATTCAGCTCTGCCAATTGCACAGAACAGGTTGGGGTGGCTAGGGGTGTGCGATATTGACAAAAAATTATATCTCTATATTTTCTGGGATTTTATCGATAACGATAATTTGACTGAGTGTTACTGTGCTGATATCTTAAGGACTACAGTGGACAGCTGACTCCTAAAGTTTTTGATATTCTTCATATACTGTGTGGTGGTCAGTTCACAGCAGTGACAGAAATGAGTCTTTTCCAATAAGTTCAAATTGATTTTTTCCTTTTATGGTCATTTTTACCTTAAAGCCATTTTTCCTAAAAGTGTGCATTATCATTTGAGTCAAATTCTTATATTTAATCAGTCAATTATAATAAGACATTTGGGCTGTTGTCAAGCAAATGAAAGTATCAACAAAATGTATCTTTGCAATGCAGAGGAAAGACAGAAGCTTCATCTGAAGTGGCATTTAGATGCATTTACACATTGATTAATGCATGACATGAATGCATTTAACCTTCAGTTACACATGCGTAAATGTTTTAATATTGTTAACATAAAAAGTTGAACACTTGATAATTGAAATATTTGGAACTTTAAATGTGAAATTAAAACCGCCAGTAGGTGGCAGCAAGTCACTGTTAATATGTGAGTCATTTTGATTGAACCGAATCATTTACACGGTTGATTCATTCAGGAATGAGACACCGTCATGTTGCTCAGAGACGCAAAACAGTGCTGTGGCTTAGTTTGGAATTATTTTTGTTGGCGAAATGGAGCAAAAACAGGCAATATGGTGTCTAAAACGTAAGTCTCTTAATATTAACTTGTTTATTGAACAGTTGTATAAAATCAATATCACATTTGTAATCATGCTGATCATGCATAGAAACAATGGACAGTACAAGCGCAGCGTTGAGTCTTCTTGAGTCTGTTCAGTAAAGAGCGTTTTGATTGGTGGATTAAAAGCTCACCGCGATTGGCTGAACGGAACATTCTCCAAAAAAAGATATTTATGAATCTTAACCTGCCAGGAAGGTCTCAAAAATACCACACACAAATTCAAAGCAGTCCACGCATGTGTGATGATTTGCAAATGCAGATTCAACGATCCATAAATATATGTAACATCATTCATAAATGTTTGATGAAAATTAATTCAAGAACTTGATATATACATATTTGTGTGAACATTTTAAATTTATTTAGGTACGATGCTTTTGTGTGAGCATTTGGGGAAATATTTATGCTTTTACTTCTGTATTTATGAATTGTGTTTTGAATTTACGAATCGGATTTTGTAAATGTAAATTGTGCTGTGAATTTATCAATTTTGTTTTATAAATGTATTATTTTTGAGGCCGATCTGGCTCCATACTGTGCGCTCGCGAAAGCAAAAACACAAACGGTAATACAAGATTTGCATTAGATTATTACATTTGGATTGTCACAATTTAGGCATCCACATGTGGAAAACGCAATTGAAAATACAATTTACAATTCATTTTGAAAATTGTACGGAATATCCTGCCATACCCATTCCTATTCACAGTGTACAATCGTTTGATCCTGGCTTCTTGTATGCGTATTTGTGGTGTCAGTGTCATTGATTGTAAGAACTCAGCAGGAAAAAAATAGTCCATTTTGCATAAATTGAGTCAGACTTTTCTGAAACTGACTAGGGGTGGATGAAAAGACCAAAATCTTATATCACAATATAGTCAAGTCAAGTCACCTTTATTTATATAGCACTTTTAACAAAACAGATTGTGTCAAAGCAGCTTTACAGTATCAAAATAGGAAAATAGTGTCAATGCAAAAGGACAATAGTAAACACTCAATTTTCAGTTAAAGGCAGTACATCATTGAATTCAGTTATGTCATCGGCCAGCTAAGTTCAGTTTAAATAGTACAGGGCTCCAGACTGCGACCAAATGGTCACATTTTGCGACCATTTTTTCTGCCGGTGCGACTCATTTTTGTGAGCGGTCGCACTGGCGCGACCACCGCGTTGTCCAACTCCTAAGCGGTGCCATTTCTGTTGCATTTGATAAACATCAAACGAAAGTGAAGCTAAACCGCGCTACATTTCCACAACACACACTGGCCTAGCTAACCAATCACAGCACATTTCATATTCCAGAAGGCGGGCTTTCATTTGGTACAGGAACTATTCGAGCCGTCATGCCAGACTGAGGAAAGAGGTGTTGTAATAATGTAAAATATGTGAAAAATAATGTGTTTTTCGAACAACCTAGTATGAGAGCCTGTTATAGTATACCCCCAAAACAAAATGAAGACTTTGTAAAACAGCATAATAGGACCCCTTTAATCACTTTCAGTTTAGTATTTTTAATTTCTTTAAGCAATCAACAATTATAATTTTTTTAATTAATGTGTTTTGGATTTACTATCCGATTAACAGGGTTTCTGAAGAGTTCTTCAAATCAAATTTAAAATTTTTTAAGACCTTTTTTAAAACTAGCACAAATAATATTAATACGGCTTGCCATTACAGAACAAACCTATATAATCTCAATATAAATCAGGTTTCTCAAATTCTTTTACTTAAACAAGCTGGGGCAACATTCAACTGCAAAACAGGGTGACTGCAAGTACTTTACATTTTTTTATTCAATATTTACATATGTATTAAAATTGGTTTATTGGTTCATATCAATACCCACAAAGTAGCGGTCCATCGACATTGGATTTTGCTGATATCATCATGAATTTAAAGGCAATTAAAGGATTGTGGCAATACTAATAAAATATATATACTGAATGCATTAATGTTTTAGTCTAGTAGAGTTTACATTAATTTAAATGTCAGATACTGTTTATTGTGTAAATGAAAATATTGGTAACCAAAATACCAGTAATAGCTAGGGGAAAAAATGCATATGGACATATTACACCAGGACTCTTGTTTTGAAATGTCAATGCTTTACTACTTTCAGCTACTTTTTCAAAAAGATGAGAGGCATTAATTATGCAATCATCTGCAACATATTATAATATAAAAACCAGAACGTAAACATTGTCAGTTCATCGAAGGTGCATCATAAGCAGTTGTTAGGCACAAATGTGCATTATTCACTGATTGTGAACTGCTTTGAAACCGCAGTCCTGATGAATGTGAAACCATGTCATGTTTTAACTTTGAAATGTGCAGAGCTCACATTTATTTATTTAAATCATTGCCTTTTGAAGTTTAATAATCATGTAGCTGTATTGCAGTTTTTCCTTCCGCAAATTTAAGACCTCTTAAAATAATTAAGACTTTTGTTATACTGTTTAAGGCTTTTTATGGACTTACATTTGATCAAACCAGAAACCCTAAATTAATAATTTAATTGAAGAGTTATTAGGCCATGTCCACACGTACACGGGCATTATTATAAACTTATAAAAGTATAGAAGTTTTTCCTCCTTCCGTTTAAAAAAAAAACAATAGGCGTTTTCAAAAATGTTCGGTTTCAGTGAACTGGTGCTGCGTTTGCGTGTGGACGAATGGCCTAACCGCGTAGAAAAAGCTGTGGTTTTAAAAATAACCGCATTCGTGTGGACAGGGCCTTAGTCGACTATCAAAACCAGCAATGGGCAAAAACTGGTGCAAGACCTGCAGAGTTTAATTACAGCCCTAATCAAACACGCCTTCAAGACAGGAGTTGCCCATCCCTGATCAATACAGTCATTAAGTGCAGCCTTAAACTTCAATGTTGATATTATATGACATTACAACTTGTACAGAGTAGCAGTGTTATCTCTCTGTTCATTAGTAATTAGTAATCTGAGTTTCCCATTCTGTTGCAGCCCTCAAATTGTCATTTTTTTGTCATCTAAGCTTGGATGGAGAAAAATAAATACAAAACTTTTGTTCTCTCTTTGACCCCTATAGCCTAGATTGATTCCCTCTCAGACAGACTCTAGTGCTCAACATCCCATCCTTCCAGCAGTGGGTGCGACCCAGTCCATCGCTCCCTCCCAGGCTGCTAACTTCATGAATGATGCTATAGAGAAAGCCCGCAAGGCAGCTGAGCTGCAGGCCAAGATCCAGTCCACACTGGCTATGAAACCCGGAATTCTGGGTGCTTTGGGAAACACAGGGCCACATAACCTGGTAGCCCTGGCTAACCTGCATGCCATGGGCATAGCACCACCGTGAGTGTTGTATACACCTAAAATTAACCTTAGAAAGGGCATGTAGACATTTTCGGCAGCTCTAGAGAAGAATATTGGAAACAAACATGTTTTCAACATTTTTATTACATATCAATAGGTTTTAATGTTTAGAAATAATTTATTGCTAAAAAATAGTTTGTGAAGTTTTATCATTTTCTTACAGTAAAGTGGAACCACGCGAGGTCACAAAGCCAACACCCCTCATTTTGGATGAGCTTGGACGAACTGTTGATGCCAGTGGGAAAGAAGTTGAGCTCACACATCGTATGCCCACTCTAAAAGGTACCATGTGCTACCACAGAAATATGAATCTCTCACTTTACATTGTTTCCTAATGTTCTATTTTTTTTTTTTTTGTCTCTAGCCAACATCAGAGCAGTGAAGAGGGAACAGTTTCGGCAGCAGTTAAAGGAAAAGCCCAGTGATGACCTGGAATCCACGTCTTACTTTGACCCACGTGTGGCTATCATTCCTGCTCAGAGAGCCAAGAGAGGGTTTAGATTCCATGAACAGGGACGCTTTGAGAAGATCGCCCAGCGCATACGCACAAAGGTAGATAACAGCATGGCTTTTTATTTTTGACTCTAAAAACTATACATTAAAATGGCTTTGCGCAATAACAAGTGAGAAACAATATTATCTCCTTTTTTCAGGCTCAGTTGGAGAAACTACAGATGGAGATTTCTCAGGCTGCCAAAAAGACAGGCATACAGGCCTCCACTAAACTGGCTCTTATTGCCCCCAAGAAGGAGTTGGGAGAGGGGGAGATTCCTCACATAGAGTGGTGGGACTCCTTCATTCTGCCTTCCCAAATAGAACTGTAAGAGCCAACAGCTTTCAGATCTTTCAGCTTTTAGACGTCAATAGACAATTATATATCATGTAAATTGCATTAAAAATAAATGGTTTTAAATGAAATGGTTGAGCCAACTGTAAATGTCATTTACTTGCCATCATGTCTTTCCAAAACCATATGACTTTCTTCCTGTGGAACAGTTGTAAAGAATTCAAAGTGCCATTTTCCATACAATCTGACATTCATGTTGTTCCTTTTGATAATTAATAACAGAATTTAGTGAAAGTTTTCTTATCACATTTTTCTGTTCTTTTTCTCAGATTTGCACATACAAATTTTGATGAGGTGGAGATGCATGGAGTCACCAACCTAGTTGAACACCCAATTCAGATGGCCCCACCAGGTATTGATACATACATGGACACATCAAAACCTTCTACAAACAGAAACTGGTTAAATTTCAAAAGACACATTAATCTGAATTTTTTTTAACTAACATTTTCTGTTTTTATTACTGTCTCTCTCTTTTTGCTTCTCTTTCTCAGTGGATATAGACAAGCCAGTGACTCTGGGTGTGTATTTGACCAAGAAGGAACAGAAGAAGCTAAGGAGACAAACACGCAGAGAAGCCCAGAAAGAGTTACAGGAAAAGGTCCGATTGGGGCTTATGCCTCCACCTGAACCTAAAGGTACGTTACCAGTTAGACACCAGTCACACAAAGGAGGTTTAAAATGTATTTAATGTTAACCTACCAGTCAAAGGTTTGGGCACACCTACATTCTTTATTACAGTTGTTTTTCAGTTAAAGATTTTTCACATCATATCTGAATAAAAGTATTAATTCCTTAATTTATTTTTTTTTTTTTTTTTTTTTTTTTTTTTTTTTTTTTTTTGATGTAGCAGCTTCACTACAGCTTTGTGCTTTATTTATCTTATTATTATGTTCCTGTTTGTGTGCAGTGCGGATCTCTAATCTGATGAGGGTCTTGGGGACGGAAGCTGTGCAGGACCCCACTAAAGTGGAGGCTCATGTTAGAGCACAAATGGCAAAGAGGCAGAAGTGAGTAATTTCACATGCACAAAGTATTAATATCAAAGCCACAAGTACCATATTTTCTGGAAAATAAGTTGCACTGGGTTAAATTTGCGTTTTTGAGAGAGAGAAAACAGATCAATCACAACAGTTTGCAGTGTTTCCCCTGCCATTATATTAGGGGGGCAGCCCGCCCCCGCCCCCCTTGAAGGTCAAGTGAATTTTATTTAATTATATTTTCTCTATAGCGCCAGATCACAACAGATGTCATTTAAAGTTACCTTTCCTATAGAACAGGTATATACCTTGTTCTTTTATTAAGCAAACTAAATAGCCTTAAGTTATTTATCTTATTTACACAATGGCATATCATTTTGGTCTCTACGTTATGGTCACGCTCTCTGCATCACGCACAGCGGAGTTCCGCCCGATGCGCACACACACACACACAAGTGAGCCCACTCCCACTAGTATTTGTAAATATTAAGCCGATACATATTTAAATATGAATTCTCCGTGTCTCTGTGTTAATGAATGGCACAGACGCATGGTTTTGTGTAGTACTCGTACTGAAACACTCGTGACGCTTCCGGTGATATTAACGATATTAATGAGGACATAAATACATGAACAACATCTCCAGAACTGCTCTGAGAGTCACTTCATGAGCATTTGACCATTTCATTTGAGTAAAACTCAATGAGTTTTATGCTTTCAAATGTTAAAACAGAATTTGGTTACAATAAAACGTAAGGTTGGAAAAATAAAACATTTTATAGGGCCCTAAACATGTAATATTTGTTAAACTTTTAATAAAGTGATGTTAAATTAAGTTTCATGATTTTAATTAATTAGACATGCTTTTTGATTGATAAAATGTAATTTAACCATTAAAAAGGAGTCCAGAAAAAAAG